GGGGCAGGCCGGGGTTGTCCCCCGGGCGGTGCGGAGGGGTGGGGCTCTCCCCGACAGCCTCCCTTAGCTCTGATCCTGCGGTGCTTCCCGGACCCGCTGTCTCAGCGGGCGAGGCCGGGGTCTCATCATCAGCATCCGAGGGCGACCACGGGGCGCCGGACAGGACCATTCCGCCCGGTCATCTTCTTCAGAGGGGTGGTCATGGAAGGGAGGTCCGGGATCTCGTGTCGGGAGAAGCCCTCTCCGCTGCCCCCGCTCTGGCCTCTGCTTTCTGCCCCTGACTGGTCACAACTCTCCAGCTAAAAGTGTCTTTCCCTGTGGCGTGCATTCCCACGGCCTGAGTACATCATTAGTATAAGTATTGTTAGCATTTTTGGTATTGTTAACAGTTGTTCTCATGAGCTCCAAGATCCTGGAGCATTACTTCCTCATCCTCCTGACCTCCGGGTAACGACACTGTCCACAGTCCAGGATGAGTGACAGCGAGAATTAAATGTTCAGGACGCTGTACCTACAGGGACCGTCTTAATTCTGAAGTTTAAGGTTTCTAGCATATCCTCCACATTTATATACATCCCTTATTTAATTGTGCAAGATGTCTATCTCCAACAAAAAGCCATAAATTGCTCTTCACATCCATTTGTCTTTTCACTGAAATGCATCGATACAACAGATCCAGTACCATATGATAGTTTTCAGCAAACCCACCCTTTTTTGTGGCTAATCTGTGGCGTTGTCTATCACTTCCCGTGACTTTATCAGTTGTCAGACACATGTCAGTGTGAGGAATATGGAAGCTGGTGTTCTGTGATGTTAGCAAAAGTACGCGAAGAGTGAGAGAAAAATTTCAAGCCTTTTCGGAAAAAGACAGATACTGCTTTACCCACCTAACAATGCAAGTCTACTCTGCGTAACCTTTAGCAGCAAAGAGGTCACTTACTAAAGTAATTTGCAGTTTTTCCATGTGACTCCACCACATGCAGTGAGCAGGCTGTGTGCTTTTGTGTTTTTGAGATGTGGAAGCCTCAGGCTCAGGAAGCATACCCTATGGCTTCTTCAGGACTGAGTGTCCTTTCCAAGCAGTCCGTCATTAATTTCCTCTCCATGTGCACACAAGCTGGCACATTCATAACACCAATCAGTAAGGCACTAGGCATCCACTCCAGCTGTTGCCACTAGAAACAGCAGCCCAAGTGTTGTGTCTGGATGTAGGAAAGCACCAAGATGTTCTATGATGTGAGCAACAAGGTAGCAAATCCTGTGTCTGTCTTCCCCAAGCTACTAACAGACGAGCTAAGTGGAATGGATGTTCTCCGGAAAGGCTTTACAATGGCATTAGGAATAACCAGTGTTATGAGCATCTCAGCTTTCTTTAGGAGCCTTGCATTTCAAAATACTACCTCCCATCCCTTCCCTCCAGCCCCATGCAAACAGCTGGGAGTTGCTGGGCTGTGGTGAGTCATGTGCGGCACAGCCTCCTGTGGTAAGGGCTCCTTGAGACCCCCATCATCATGGTGTCCTAAGTTTTCAGTCAACTTACTGCTCTGGGGTTGTGGAGGTACAAAGTGCAACACTATATTGCTTATGCATATACTGAAATTACTCCAGTCAGTGCCAGCTCCTCAGATCTGACAGCTCTTATTTTTGTCACAAAACAAGCAGGTATAATCACCATGAGAGGGGATTACAAAGCCCTTCACACACTTCTGAGTTGAAAATGGACCTCAAGGTGTTGTGTATTATCAAAATAATTTATAAAGAAATTGAATATAAGGTGTGTACCTATGTGCATTTGTATTTTTAGTTCAATACTATTCCACTGTTTTGATACACTGCAGAGAAGTCTGTTGAAGGTTTGTGGGATTTAATGGACACAGACGTAAACTGGATCACTTTTATAGGAGCAATGGTGGCATCTAGTGGTTAACAGTAACAGTCCTGTACCTATGTCCAGAATGCCTTTAAAAATCATATAAAGGGCATCTAAAACACCATATATATTATCTTCATATGATCCATCGGAGGAAAGCACTGACTAAATCTAACTGCCCTTTAAGAGTTCCATTAGCATAAAAGAATAATAATGGTGAATGCCATTTCAAAACCAAAAATAAAAGACTTAAAAAAGTGGTGGCAAGTGGATATGCCTAGAAAGGAGAAGTTAAAGACTGGAATATATTAATTGGCGCTATTATTAATATATTCATATATTCATGTATTCATATATTCATATACTCATATATTAATATATGAGTATAGGAATATAGGAATATATTAATTAATGAAGTTATTTCTTTCATGAATCAGACAAATCTGAAAAACTTGCAGGTGGATGGCAGAGTTCAAATCCAAACCAAAACTTTTTTCACTGCTTTTTCACTTTCATTCTTTGAAATCAGCAAATAACACCTTTTTAAGTGTGTGAGATTTAGAAAAAAAAAAGAGCATTTGACTCTAAGTGACAGAAAATAATGTGTCCACTCCACAAAAATAGCTCATATCAGACCTAGCACACCCACCTGCAAAAGATAAAGAAATATCAATTGTCTTTGAAGAGCAAGCTGATATGTGGAAAGAAAACTCTATAACCCACAGGTGTATTTATTCAGCACTGAGGTGCATGGGGGGGTATCTCCTCCAAAGACATACACACCCTGGAAACTTGCCCCTCTCTTTTTATTCTCCACAAACTAGGGTTACTCAATACGCCTAATACATATTCATTTCCTAACCCTTCTTGTCCCCACTTCATATTAAAATTAGCTCCATGCCTCTTTGCGGCTGTGCACTGCTCCTTGTTGGTCACTCTGGTGGTCATCTGGGGGTCTTTGGGTCTGAAGTAAGTGATCTTCCTCTCAGCTGAACTTTTCACCTTGTCTCCTTGGATGTGCTCCTTTTAGTCCTTTGACCATCTTTCAGACTTTGGTACCATTTTTCCCAGCTTAGGGGTCCAAAGAATCCCCTTATCCCATGGTGCCTTTGTCCTTGCATCCTGCTTACACATTCTAGCTCTTTATCTTACCTTGCAGCCTCGGTCTCTTCCTGCTCTTGTGGGAGCAGTAAGCATTTCATAAGGTTTTGTCAGCCCCCCTTTTTTAGCTAAAGCATTTCTTGATTCTTGATTCCTAATTCTTAATTTCTCTGTTTCTAAACTTACAGGAGCTCTAAGCTTGAAATCCCCCTTGGGCATTTGGTTTCACTAGGGAGGCATACAGACATCATTTACAGAGAAGTAGTTGTAACTGCCAAGCATCCTATAACATTTTTGTAGGCCCATTCATTGATACACCTGGGTAATCATATGCATTAATAGTATCTTAAAAAATAAATGATCTTTAGTCTTCATTCTTACGTTCCAAAACTCCTCAGGGTTTATGGCTGAGTTTGGTATTTTTACACTGTGTTTGCATTATTGCAACATCTGTCTCTATAACCATTTGCATTTCTATGTATCATTTCATTTTGGAAGGTAACTATATGTCCAATTTATTAACCCTTACAGACATCCAACTGAATATGGTTAAAGCCTTTCCTATTGATTTTGCTAGTCACTGGATCCAGCCAAATCTTGGATAAATATACCCCTTTTTTCAAGAGAGATCAGCTCCTTATGCCCCTATGGTCTGTCTTGGTTTGAAAAACAGGTGTCTGTGAAGGAAGGTGGGAACAGAAAAAAAAAGGCCCTCTTTCCTCTGAATGATTATAACCTTGAAATTAAGGGGGTTTCAGGCAGATATGGGAAAAGGAATAACAGTTCTTTACTTGTATGTATATGTGTATGTGTAACAAGGCAAACAAACAACAACAACGGCAGAGACAACAAAAAGAACCAGAAGAACAAAGCACCTCTGAGGAAATTGGTTGACTTTTTTCCCTTTCTTGCCAGTCTCCGTGGCAGGAAGTGGGTTTTGGTGGGACCAGGGAAGGTGACGTCCCAGTTGGCAGCGCCCTCCCTGTACCTGTGGAAACCCTTGATCAACATAGCTCACTATCTCGGCTTACACAAAGCAGGTACACTTTGTTTAAAGAATATCAGAACTTCCTGGGGTTTCACACTGAAATCTGTAGGGTGGAGTTAAGGCTAAATATCCCATGCAAACTCTTTTCCTGCCCCCTGTGAGCAGCGCTAGGGAAGTGAATCCTACCTTGCCAATGCCACCTGAAGCATCCTTCATGGGATGCCCTTCCCCTTCAGTGTGGAGGGGCCCGGGAATCCCGGGGTTTCCCCTGAGGCACCCGATCAGATGGTGAAAAGGTCTTTTTTTTAGCGGGGCAGGGTGTTAGTGAGGCCTCTGGTGCCGCTCCCACGAGCAGAGCTCACCCACGGTAGAGGAAGGCAGCGGGAGACGGAACCTCGCAGTGCCGGCGAATTCTCCCTGCGGCCACCGCAGCTTCTCTCCCCTTCGATGCCGACATCGAGAGAGGGAGAGGAGCCGAGCCCAGCCTCTCTCTGTGGTATCTTTGCCCTTCCAAAGAGAAAACCACACAGGTAAAGAGAGCAGCCAGCTGCACCCTTCCCCCTCCTCCTCCTCCCAGACACATCTTTTTTTTTTCTCTTAAGTATTGGTAGTTACTGTTTCTTAGCAACAGATGGGATAAAATTCCACGAGAAGGAAACAAACGGAATAATCCTAACGCCCAACACAGTTTTACCAGAATATCCTTGAAGAGAAATTAAAGCTTGTGCTGCAGGAGGCCAACTGCAATATCTTGCTCCTTCGCTATTGTCCACAGAGCCAATTCTGATGCTCATACACACAGTCCTGTTCCAGACCGAAATCAGTGAAGTGCGACAGGTACCACTAAAAATAAAACCTTTGTGTCTTCTAGAATTATTTGCACTTTTGAAAATCTGTCAGTAATTAAAATTTTAGATTCAAGATGATTTCCCAGCATCAGCTACTACTAAACCCATCTTTTATTTGGGGAAAATTAACAAACTAGACGATCTGCAATTTAATTAAAGAAAAATGTGCAGTTTGATACTCAAATAAAAACAAAATTTAAATAATATGATAGACTATGCTAGGAAAGCTGCACTTCTGAAAATCTGTTTAGATTTAATATTTTCTCCATTATTAATGAAAAAATATTATTACAGAAAAGTTTACATGGGTAATTTATATGTAAATTTATTTCACCTGCTTTATTTTTTCTGCTATTTCAGACTGTTTATCTTGTCTGTACTTTGTAGTTGTTTTCCCTCTATTCATAGAAGAGAAATAAATGCGACAAAATATTTTACAAATAGAAGACCTCCATACATACCTCCCACCCCTACATGGGATACACTGAAAGGTTTAAAGTGGTGGACAGCAGTGTTTACTCTTTTCCTTGTCAGGTACCTCCACAGCCATGGACTAGAATGGAAGACGGTCTCCAGTGGCTTAAACAGGTTTGTCTTAACACTTTTGTCCCACATTATTGCCTACTACTCTAATGAGAGATGAAAGAATTAAAAGAAGGTCAGCAAAGTTGCTATTTGAAAGAAGGTCAGCAAAGTGTAGTGCCTCCAAATGCTTAGGACAGACAGAAATCCAGTGCACACCAATCCTGGTAGAGAAGTAGCTGCAGCTATAAGGAGCACAACCGAAAATTTCTCTTTTAAAGACTTCAGCAAACAAATTCACCATGCACTCTGAGCACAGCCTGGAAGGAGGAAGATCAAGATTCAATCTGAAAGCCATTCTTGCTTAACACAACTTCTCTGCAATATCTGCAGTAGGAAAATAAACTGTGTAGTGTTTTCTTTCAAAATTGTAAAATATGTTTATAAGACTGAAAAGGTTTCCGTTGTGATAGATTTTACTAATTGTTTTACTATAGAAGGTAGCAGAACCATGTGCTTAACCTGGCCACAAGAGGTCTTTCTTCTTTTCCTATCTTGGAAACAAAAGAAGATAAAATAGAAGAATAATTTCTAATAGAATAGCAATATCTTATGTGCACAAATACCTTACTGGTTAATCTGCAGACTGCAGAAATGCACGTGAGGAAATGGTGTGACATACTTTGTTGTGTGGTGTGGGAAAGGTAGAGGTCACTTCTTTAAGGCTGCTCAAGCAGTTTGAAAAGAAAAATCTGGCAAAGTAAACAAAAATCTAAACTAAGTTAAAAAAAAATCCACTCAGAAGAAAATTCTGGAAAGGAAATAACAGTATGTCTACAGACATGAATAGCTATTCCTCCCAGAGGAAGAACTGAATAGTTATCTTTCATTATAAACCAACTGAAACAAAATAATAAATAATAATAAACACATATGCATCTTCCAACATCCAGTGTCAATTAACCATGTGACATCTTAAAAGGAAAAACTAGAAGGAGAGAACTGTATGGTAATAAGTCTGATCCTAGGTGTGTTGGTTGTGTGCATTTATGTAACCCTTTTTTAAAGACCTGTTGAAGAGGTAACAAGTTGATAGCAAACAACATTTTTTCCAAGTTTGTTAGGAATTTTACTCAAATATGACTTCTATTCAGATTTGTCATCAAGGTCAGCTAAAGGAATAGCCTTGTAGTTTGTGACTTGAAATGTCTGGATGAAGGACAAATAAGGATAGTTACAAGATTGACCCTCTTCATTAAACATTGCAATGACATTATTTTGCAATTGTTATGTAAAGCCATAAAAAAATTTCTTCTGGATGTTGCTTTTCCCTCTTGAACCTAGAGACATATTTCCAAAGTCTGAATTAAGAATATAAAGAATTATACTTAAGAGAGCAAAATAAGAATTGTGATTAGAATCCACTCTTTCAGTCTGTCAGTACTCTGAATTTAAGTAGAAGCCATCCCATTGAATTTGCTAGGATTTTGGATGTGTCAGCTTCTTGTTCTTATTATTAGATGAGTGTATTAGTAATCATACAAAGATTTCTAAAAAGCCAGACAAGAGCTAAGCATTATGAGATTATTTTCCTTGAGAAGTTTAATATGTTGTCTGCTGTAGCTAATCACACACGGGATTAGAAAGCCTGGCAGGAGAGTTTAAACATGCCATGGATAAACTATTAAATTCCTATCAAAGACATTGGAAAGCTGCTTATTGGTTTTAACAAACCTTGGAATAGGCCTGAAATCCTGTTTAGGCCTGAGACCTTTCTTATGCTTTCTGGGTTTCAACACAAGTAGGTTCTTTTACAGCTACACTGGGAGCCTGATTAGATGTTGTCTGAGGAACATATGCATGCACAATATGAAGAGTAGCTGTGCCACCTTGTGAAACAACACCGTGGTTGCAGTCAGATGGTTCACTATGGCTTCCAGACAGAGTAATTTGAAGAGTGTAATTTCCAGAGAGAGAATTTGAAGCAAATCCAGCAATTTCCTGGCAGCATTTCATTTTAAGTCAAGCAATCACATAATGTCTTCAGGACCAAGTTACTATTACAATGTTTTATTTTATATCTTTTATTAGAAAAATACCTTAAAAGAAATAGCTTCTCCACTTGCTTTCTGATTTATTTGCTGAAAATTCCTTCACAATTTTGAAAAATTTATCTTTTAGCTGCTCATTCCTGCCCTGTGTAGCTGCAATATCTTGTGCAAAGAGTGGATAATATCTTGATAGCAGAATCTTTTTAAAAAATAATTATTTCTTTGTCAAAAGTAATAATTAATTTATATGAAGCATTTTATTCAGAGATTCTAGAATTTTGAGGGGAAACACAAACAAACAAACAAATCTTCTAAGAGGCATAAGGGATTTCCCAAGGGAAAAGGCTGGATTTTTTATCTTTCTATGACTGCATTCAAAAATTAAAAATAAATAAATAAATAAATAAAACTAAAGCAATTGAAAGAAAATACTTTCTAGATTTAAAATATGTTTTATTTCTGTCAGTAAAAATATGTGTGAAATATCAGCCTCAAAATCTATTCAACAAATTTCTCCAATAAAACGGTTGCTCTGTTTTAAAAATACATCATATAAAATACATACTTCATAATTTTAACTAGCATTGCTTACTTATAATACAAATAGGAGATTTGATTATTAATGTAGGAAACTTTCACTTGGCTGAAGAGAACCCCACAACTGAAGAATGAATAATCCCTGATTTCCATTCTATCATTTCACTGATTCAATGAGCAGTTTGTGGCGTATTTTCTCTACTCTGTTACCCAGTACATGGTGGCCCAAATTCAGCAGAATTTATTCTTTTTAGCATGGAAGCTATCCTAATGGAATTAGGACAATTAAACTAGAAGTCTCAAAACAAAAATTATGAAAGGTTAACTTTGTGCATAAAAAAAAGACAACACCACAATATTTTGCTTTAGAATGACTATATTTTTTGAGATGCTACAAAGTACAGGTTTGAATATAAATGAACTGTCCCCAAATCACTAATATGGAAATTAAGCTTGTTATGATTATGGAAATAAAGTGCTTGAAATTATGTCCATTTTAACTTTTTTTTTATTTTTTAATAAGAAAGTTAGTAGTTTTCTTATGCCTGAACACATTTAAATGTAGCTCAAAATACAGTTTCCTAGCTGCATGTATTTTTACACTTAAAAGTGGCTATAGTGAAGAGAGAAACTATTAAATTCAATTTGTGACTTACATGCATTTAGCAGCTTAACATTCTCAAGGCAATGGCATCAAGCGTGAAGTCTGACAAATTTGCTTTGCAAAATCCTGCTGCTTACATAGCTACTTGTATTTCATGCAACATTTGCAAAGCAAAAGTTTGCTTGCTGGGGAACTGGCATTCACAACACTGATGAGCATCAATGTGTAACAAATTGCAGAAAATATCCAGGACTCAGAATTGTTTATCAATTTAGATCGTGGCCTTGAGGTAAGAGTTCAGAAAATGTACAGATTTACTGTCTCATGCCACAAGTTTCTAAGAGAAATTTGCTCATGGGTAAGTTTCTGAAATTTCAGATAATCATAAGACAAATATGGATTAATTTCTCTGATGATAAAATAAGCATATGTGTCTTGCTTTCTTTTGCATTATCCTGACTATGGTTGTCTCCAAGAACTGCATCTATGTCAAATCTAGCTAAAGTGAAACAGGCTTTGGATTTTAAAGGTAGGCTAGTTAGTCAGGCTCCCGTCCCAGAGGGGAGCCCATTCTTCCAGGCTGGAAGATGCAAGGTGGATGGCAGCAGGCTGATCCTGATGAATTTTCATTTCATTTATATAAGGGAACAATTTTAAATGCCTTGTGCCTCCAAGCTACTAAGGTTTATGTGGCAGCCATAGAAGAAGGGGCTGTTAAGATCTGCTGAGTGCTCTGTGGACAAAGACATGAAAGTTCCCCTGAGGCAAGTAGGACAAATTGCCAATTATTCTTAATTAGTAGACGAAGGACCTAGCAATTCCTCAAGTAGTATATTCCACCACTTCCATTATGTATAGTTCTTTTCACATGGCTGAGACAAGCAGGACTGATATGGAAAGATACCATCGTATCACCCAAAGAAAAGAGCCACAAAGAGTTTAGCAGGAGGGCATGCACTGTTCATTTTGGTTGGACTGGTAAGACTGACTGCTGTGGCCATCAAAACTTACGCTCCATCATTTTCCTCACTACAATCTTTTATAAAGCAGAAGGGAAGGAAAGGAGAAGCCAGCAACCAACTAAACAAAACTTTGAAAAGCTGGATATAGACCTGAAGGTACAGCTGAACAGCACAATATAAAAACGTATGAGGGGAGACCACCCCATTCCTCCCTATTCCTGAAACGTGGACAGTAAACAACATTTGATATCATTATCTGAAGATGTTTTTATATTAAATTAGTCGTTTAAGTCTATTATTAGCTATATTTGTCCTTATTTCACCTGTAATTGTAAATGAGAAAGCAAGAAATCGGCATTTCTCTGTCCTTGCTCTGTGTATGTCACTAATCCTTGTCTCTGGCTCCTTTTATTCAAGTAATCGCCACTAGAAATTTTTATACTAGAACTTAGATTTTTCAGCTAACTAATTATTTTATCTCAGTATAACTTTAAACAGATTTCAGCTATTAAGCAGCTAGTACAATATGCAAGAGCATATCCAGTAAAACCATGCCGTGTTAATTTGCAGCATTTCTCTTCTGCTATGGTCCAAAAGGTGATTAATATACTGAACCAGGGATATTTGGTAAATACAGCCTATAAGTATTTTTCTCTGTCAAGTACACATCAAGATCCCTGCTACTACTACCCTTAAAGTAGCATTTCCCAAGCAGCATAAGGCTGCAGAATGTATTTGCAGGAGAACTTTTTCTGTGGATTGACCTCACTATTCTCATGTAAAGGTTCAGACTTCAACTCCTCTCATATTCTTTCGTTTTCCCAAAGTGTGATTTCTTGAGCAGAGGGGAGTCAGAATATTCCTTATCTGTCTCTTGCACTGTCAGGCAGGAAATTATAGATTTCATTGAAGATCTAAAATTTGTCATTCTCTTCCATTTATTTAGCTTCACTCTTTGAAACCAGGGACATGGGGAAAAAAAGTCTTATCTTCACCTTCAATACACTCAGTGATTCATCTCTTCTGTTTTCAGAGTTGTATTTGAAAGCCTATTCACACTGAAGAGTGCTCAGCATGCTGCTTTATGCTTAAACAGTAGCTGACAGATCCTACACAAGAGTCTCCTTTTCAATACCTCATTTTCAATGAAGCTGAGGCTAGCATTGGGGCATATTCTTAGAAGAGAGCTCACCACTGACACAAGTTTTCAGCAGAATGA